GCATGTTAGTTCTTCATATATTTAGAGATCAAGTGTTGAGGTTATACCAACATGCATGTTAGTTCTTCATATATTTAGAGATCAAGTGTTGAGGTTATACCAACATACATGTTAGTTCTTCATATATTTAGAGATCAAGTGTTGAGGTTATACCAACACATAGGTTAGGTCTTCATATATTTAGAGATCAAGTATTGAGGTTATACCAACACATATGTTAGTTCTTCATATCTTGAGAGATAAAGTTTGAAATACAAGTATAATTCTATTTTACCTTACTATATATACTTTGTTTGATTGCAGCAAATATTAAGGATGTGACATGTGTTCTCTTTCAGCATCACATGAACCAAATGCCATTACACAAAATCTCTCTTCTTACATTGCAAGATTCCCTGCTGAAAGATTTTGATGCTAGTTCGACATTTGTGCATGAGGTTTCAGTTTTGTTGAATCGTTGGCAGAGTCTGTGTTCTCAGTTATTAAACTTCCTTCATCACCTACAAAGAAAACAGTGTAAAACCCAGAACTTTCCAAAAAAAGCTCAGAATATTTTTAACCTGTTACACAAGATTCAGAGTCAACTAAACCTGGAAACTCCATCTCATCCCAAGGTGGAATCTCTTGTTCAGTTAGAGGTAGGAAGTCATATTGTACTTGCCATAGTTGATAAAATAAATCACTTAATCTTATAAGTGACAAAAAATAAATGAAAAAATATGATAAAATGGTTTAAAAATTTAAATGATAAAATACAGTATACAAAAATTTACGTTGTTTTTTATACATTTTTCAATACGCATCAACTTTCCACACCCAATACAATACTGATAAACTGTTAACACTTTCTTTAATCAACTTTACACACCCAAGACCATGCTGATAAAACTGTTAACACTTTTTTAATCATCTTTTCACACCCATGACCATGCTGATAAACTTATAATACTTTCTTTAAACAATATTACACACTATTATTACTTAGTTGTTTAGACACTATACCAACACTGTTAACCATTATTATTTAATTGTTTATACCATATGCCAACATTGTTAACCATTATTACTTAATTGTTTAGACTAAATACCAACATTGTTAACCATTATTATTTAGTTGTTTAGACCATGTAACAACATTGTTAACCATTATTATTTGGTTCTTTAGATCATGTACCAACACTGGTAACTATTATTATTTAGTTGTTTAGACCATATACCAACATTGTTAACCGTTATTATTTAGTTGTTTAGACCATGTAACAACATTGTTAACCATTATTATTTGGTTCTTTAGATCATGTACCAACACTGGTAACTATTATTATTTATTTCATTAGACCCTGTGCCAACACTGTTAACTGTTACTATTTGTTTGATTAGATCCTGGAGCTAGAAGCTTTAGAAAATAAACCATTGATAGAATCACTAATTGAAGAAGGGACTGCTCTGGTTGATGACATTCCTGAGGAAACTGTTCAGAGCTCTGTCATTACTCAACTACAAGAACAATGGGTGCTTGTAACCCATTTGCTTAGAGAGAGAATAGATATACTTACCACTGTAACCAAAAGATGGCAGCTTTATCGACACCAACTTTGTGAGGTGCAACAAATAGCTAGAGAAATAGAACAAAAAGATTTGGAAAATAACACTGTCTTTGTGAGAGATTTGGACAACTTACAAGCGAATATAACATCACAACAGGTATAAACCAGTTGTACTACAGTTTGTAGAGTAGGTTGTGTTTGTTAAAACTGTTATGTAGACACTGGTACAGATAGTAAACAAAATAATACAAGCTTATAGCAGGTATAAACCAGTTGTACTACAGCTTGTAGAGTAGGTTGTGTTTGTTAAAACTGTTATTTAGACACTGGTACAGATAGTAAACAAAATAATACAAGCTTATAGCAGATAGAAACTAGCTTGTACCGTAAGCTGTGTATGTGTGAACAAGTATTTTATTGGCCTAAGTATAGTTATAATATTTACTGATTCATTCATTATTTTAGGCTGTTATAGATGAACTTACTAAAGCTAAGAATTCCCTGACTGAGTTGAAACAAACCAGAGATTTACTTCAAAGTGTGATTGATGAAGCAGAAGCTTGTATAGTTGAAGATGAAATCTTAGCTGCAGAGAACCAGATCCACACTCTTCAGTTTAAGCTAACTGAACAATATACTAGGCTTCAGAGCTTGCATGAGAAGTGGGAGGAGCTCCAACAGATTCTTCTTGAGATCAGAAAAAAATTGGATTCTGGACAAAAAGCTGCTGTTGAGCATTTACCTCAAAGTCAACAGGAACTGTATGCCAAGATACAGGAAGTTAAGGTATGGAAAAAATCCAAACTTACAAGACTGATAGTTCTTCATTCTCTGTTGTTCAAGTTTGTACTAGACAAGGTTTATTTGTTTAAACCTGGGTTCCTATATATATTTCAAGTTTTCTACGAGACAAGTTTTATTTGAGTAAACCTTGGTACCTGTATATTTCAAGTTTTATTTGTGTAAACCTGGGTTCCTACATATTTCAAGTTTTGTACTAGACAAGTTTTATTTGTGTAAACCTGGGTTCCTATATATTTCAAGTTTTGTACTAGACAAGTTTTATTTGTGTAAACCTGGGTTTCTATATATTTCAAGTTTTGTACTAGACAAGTTTTATTTGTGTAAACCTGGGTTCCTATATATTTCAAGTTTTGTACTAGACAAGTTTTATTTGTGTAAACCTGGGTTCCTATATATTCCAAGTTTTGTACTAGACAAGTTTTATTTGTGTAAACCTGGGTTCCTATATATTTCAAGTTTTCTACTAGACAATGGTAAAATATGATTTTACTATAAGGAGGAAGAAAAAGACACTGGTATTCATTAGTGGGCAGTATAAAATATGGTTACTATAAGTAGGAGGAATAAGACACTGGTATTCATTAGTGGGCAATATAAAATATGGTTACTATAAGTAGGAGGAATAAGACACTGGTATTCATTAGTGGACAATATAAAATATGGTTACTATAAGTAGGAGGAATAAGACACTGGTATTCATTAGTGGACAATATAAAATATGGTTACTAAAAGTAGGAGGAATAAGACACTGGTATTCATTAGTGGACAATATAAAATATGGTTATGATAAGAAGGAGGAATAAGATACTGGTATTCATTAGTGGACAATATGAAATATGGTTACTATAAGAAGGAGGAATAAGACACTGGTATTCATTAGTGGACAATATAAAATATGGTTACTATAAGTAGGAGGAATAAGACACTGGTATTCATTAGTGGACAATATAAAATATGGTTACTATAAGTAGGAGGAATAAGACACTGGTATTCATTAGTGGACAATATAAAATATGGTTATGATAAGTTTTATATTGTCCACTAATGAATACCAGTATCTTATTCCTCCTTTATGGTTATGATAAGAAGGAGGATAAGATACTGGTATTCATTAGTGGACAATATGAAATATGGTTACTATAAGAAGGAGGAATAAGACACTGGTATTCATTAGTGGACAGTATAAAATATGGTTACTATAAGAATGAGGAATAAGACACTGGTATTCATTAGTGGACAGTACAAAATACTTGCCAGAAGTGAGTTTCTTACACTTGTGTATATCTGTGCAGAACCTCCAAGACCATCTGTACACAGTGTGTGACACCCTAGATACTGTGGAGAGAGAAGTGGCCAATCTGCAGGATACCTGGGACCTACCAGAGGTTGGAGGAGTTACAGGTGAAGTTGCCTTACTGAGAAGAACTTGGGAAACTGTAATTGTGCTGCTTGTAATCAAAATGGAACTTATCAGTGAAAAACTGCATCATTTACATCAGTTTGATGAAGAGGCTGAAAAGCTTCTATCTTGGGCTCAGTCATTTACCATAAGAATTGAAGAAGAAAAAAATTTAAATGTTGAAGATGAAGTCCCACTTCTCGAAACTGTGAGTTTATGATTTAAAGTTTATTTAACTTCATCAAACATACTATTATATAAATATTGTTTGAAAGTTTGTAGACAAAAAAATACATAATCAAAACTGTGTTATCTTTAAATTGTATATGATATTTATTGTTGTGGTTATAGTTATAGTTGATAAGTTTTTCTTCATTACCCATTCAAGCCGTCTCCAGCCATTATTAGTCACAAAGTGGGTTCTTGATCATCGAATTTACAGTTGATATGTTTGGATTATTGAGATCTAAGTGTTGCATTGTTAGGATTATAGTAAAAACAGGCTGAAATACCCGTTAACTGACAAGGAATGTTTAAACTTAATTAAAACAATGTAATTTTAATAACAATCGTATATTTCAAAGTAATAACTTGAACATAAACAACATTTGCAGTTTGCTTTACATCTACCAATAAATAAAAATTTTGAGGTGATTACACCCTTGAAAACCCTACATCTCATTGACTATGAGAAAAGCATGGCTGTTTGAGAAACAATCCAGCGACTTTCATACTTTGACCTTGAATCTATTATAATATTCATCATTATCTAAAGCATCAACATTCCAAGATTGTTTGAGATTGACTCAATAGTCTGGGAATAATTAACCAATAGGCTTTACAAAATAGAAATAGGGTTAAATTCAATTTTGATGTCCTTAGGACATTCCCCATAGTTCATAGTGTTTACATACAAATTTTGGTTAAGATTGGCCCAATAGGCTCGGAGGAGCTAGGGTGCAAACAAACACACATTTCATCTTTATATATATATATATATATATATTACATCCATGGAGTTACAGTACTAGTTGTAGTTACAGTTGATTTGTTGGGTTTATTGTGATCTAAGAGTTGGATTTTTGAGATTATATTAAACATTACACCCATGTAGTTACAGTAAATAGTTGTAGTTATAGTTGATTTGTTGGGTTTATTGTGATCTAAGAGTTGGATTTTTGGAATTATGGTAACCGTTATATCTGTGAAATTTCATTAAGTACTTGTGGTTACAATTGGTTTATGGTTTAATTAACTTTTCTTTAGTTGAGGTTGTAGTGAATATGGCATATATGTAGTTATAAGAATCTTTAAATTAATGGTTATGTTACTTCCTGGTTAGTATGAAACATGAAATACTATCTCCAACTTGATTTCAGGAACTAGCCAGTCAGAAGGATCTCCTTCTGAAGACAACAGAACTGGGTGAAAAACTGGTGGAAGATTGTGATGATGTAAACGTCCAGAGAAAGCTAGAAGAAATTAAGAGAGTATGGGAAACTGTTAACAAACTATGGGCCCAGAGGTTGGTTTCTTACATTTTTACAAACTTTGATAACTTATCATGTATAGTTTGTGGAAACTAAAATGTGGATCTTCAGTATTGAGTTTGGAGAGTCAGTTGAAATAGGTAGATATATTTAGTGCTTTTAATGGATATAAAATAATGAAAACTCAAATGTTTCTGCGAAAAATGAAAAATAACAGTTACAGTAAATGTGGAAAGTTATCTTATAAAAGTTGGTCCACTAACAAACAACATCAGTATATTTTGGGGTAACTTTCCACATTTAATGTTGTTTTAAAAGTTGGTCCACTAACAAACAACATCAGTATATTTTGGGGACATTAAATGTGGAAGTTATTATTTAAAAGTTGGTCCACTAACAAACAACATAACTTTACATAAAATTGTGAAATAAGTAAACAAACTTTCAGCACTGGATCCAAAAAAAAGTTATAAATTAAAGTCTTCACCCTTAGTTTTCACTGTCTTTCTAGAATATTGAATTTATATATGAAAAAAGCTTCTTAAACTGAATGTTTAACATAAAGAGTAAATTAAAAAATATTTGTGAATAAAACAGTTTTGAATGATAATATTATCATTTTAAAACATTAGAATTATTCTTTCCTTTCAAGTTAACTAGTGAGGTTTTTGTTTTTTTTTCAGACAAGAGAAGCTGAAGTCTTTTCTTCTGCAGTGGAAACAGCTGGAACAGGACACAATCAGTTTTGATAAATGGTTGAACGACATTGAATACCAACTGTCAAAATCAGTTGTATATCAGGAAGTTTCTGAAAAGGAAATCAACAGACAGCAAACAGTTTTAGAAGTAAATATTTAATAAAAGAAATAAACATTCACAAATATTTAAATACATAATCAAAAAAAAGTTAGTTTGATAAAATAATTATTCCTGAACTTTCACCAGAATTAGAATTAGCCAAACTGGTATAATTTTTTTTCAGATGCTTCCCCCCCCCCCCAACTTTTGAGTACCAGCACATTTTTCTTGACAATCCCATCACAGAATAAGGTTGTACAGGACTGGATGTATGCAGGTTTTTTATACCATAAAATGTGATGAAACAGCAGTTATTTTTTGTGAGGAAAAAATCTAAAATTCAGACATTAGATTTGACCTTAATCTTTGAAAAAAATAATAATGACAAAAAACATGATGTGTTTCTAAGTTTATTTGTCCCTGAACCATGGTAGAGAGGGTGCTAAGGTGCTTAGAGTGCTTAGTAGCAAATTAGTTTTTATTTCTTATTCATTAAAGCTGAATTAGGTTTAGTGATATACAAGACTGTTTAGTTTAAGAGTTGTTACTTATTGATTTAATATTTAATGAGTATTTAGTTTTCATAACAAGAATGTTAAAAGTTCACTATTTTAAAAGTAATACTTATGACATATTTCATTATGTAACTCTATACGAGTGAGTTGTACGTTGTGTGTGTGTAGTACGCTTTTGTAATACCGTTGACATCATCATACTCAAAGCTTCTAAGTTTTTCTTGTTGTGTGTAATAGTGTTGTCACTAGGTTTCTCGGTTTTTCTGTTTTGTGTTATGTGAGTGAGTTGTACATAGTGTGTGTAGCTCAATCATAGTAGTACGCTTTTGTTATACTGTTGACATCATCATACTCAAAGCTTCTAAGTTTTTCTTGTTGTGTGTAATAGTGTTGTCACTAGGTTTCTAGGTTTTTCTGTTTTGTGTTATATGAGTGAGTTGTACATTGTGTGTGTAGTTCAGTTGTAGTAGTAGGCTTTTGTAATACTGTTGACATCATCATACTCAAGCTTCTAAGTTTTTCTTGTTGTGTGTAATATTGTTGTCACTAGGTTTCTAGGTTTTTCTGTTTTGTGTTATATGAGTGAGTTGTACATTGTGTGTGTAGCTCAATCGTAGTAGTAGGCTTTTGTAATACTGTTGACATCATCATACTCAAAGCTTCTAAGTTTTTCTTGTTGTGTGTAATAGTGTTGTCACTAGGTTTCTAGGTTTTTCTGTTTTGTGTTATATGAGTGAGTTGTACATTGTGTGTGTAGTTCAGTTGTAGTAGTAGGCTTTTGTAATATTGTTGACGTCATCATACTTGAAGCTTCTAAGTTTTTCTTGTTGTGTGTAATATTTTTGTCACTAGAGGGCTACATATTTCCAGGTTTTTCTGTTGTGTGTTATAAACACGTGCAGAGAAATAATCAGACTGTGTGAGTGATTAGCCTTAACAGGCAATTTCTAAAATGGGTTTCACAGCTGTATTATAAACAACAGAGATAAAAAGAAAATTGTCTTGTCGATTGGGTTATAAATTAACTGAACCATCCTGTGTGGACTTTTGTTCAAAGAAAAAGGGTGACAGTTACTTACAGCTCTGGATACAAATGTGATAACCAAAAGAAATTAGTCAAAGTGAAGTTAGACTGCATGATTAGCCATAATGGGCAATATTTTAAAGTAAATTTTACATTGTAATAATAGAGATAAGAAGAAGAATTTGTCTTGTGTTCTAAAGTAATTGAATCTGCTTGTATAGACTTTGATGAAAAGGAGACAATTATTTACAGCTCGGGACACAATTGTGATAACCAATAGTGTAATGAATTTTTGTATATAGTTTGACTTAATTAAAAGGTATGCTTTATTGGCAGACAAATGAACTCCAGGTACAAGACTAGTAGTGACAAAGGCTTGATAATTAGTTTCTTTTTTATTCATACCTATATAAAAAGTATATCCTATGCCATTTTTTAATACCATCAGTAATTGTAATATACATAGATAAAAAGTATATCTTATGCCATTTTTAATGCCACAAGTAATTGTGATATAATTATATTTAATAGTATATCTTATATCATTTTTAATGCCACAAATAATTATGATATACTTATAGAAAAAAGTTTATCTTATGTCATTTTTAATACCAAGTATTTTACTGATGATATTCAAAAACTTGTAGGATCAACCAAAAAAAGCAACAGAAACCAGTAATCCTAGCTATTTCATAAGGTGGTCTTTCCTTTATCAGGGGGTAAAATATATTATAAGTATGTTAATCAGTTTTCAAGAATATCATGTTCTTATAAAAACTATCTTTCATTTGGTCTCTTCAGGACCTGCAGACATAGAAAAACCACAGTTCTAACATACTTGGTATCATATCTACATAACTGATCAACACGTAGGACCTGCAGACATAGAAAAACCACAGTTCGTGTTGATCAGTTATGTAGATATGATACCAAGTATGTTAGTAGGACCTGCAGACATAGGAAACCACAGTTGTAACATACTTGGTATCATATCTACATAACTGATCAACATGTAGGATTTTCAGGACCTGCAGACATAGAACAACCACAGTTGTAACATACTTGGTATCATATTTACATAACTGATCAACATGTAGATCTTCAGGACCTGCAGGCATAGAAAAACCACAGTTCTAACATACTTGGTATCATTAGAGTGATCATTTGTCATTTTACTTTCTGAAGTGATCAGGTTCTTCTACTGTTTAGTGTTGAGATAAGTGTTATACTAAAGCAGATGAACACGGTTTTCTTATTGTTTAAGTATTTTACTGTTGAGGTAATTGTTATACTAAAGGAGGTGAATTCAATATTTTTATGCTTGATGTGATATATAAGTAGCTCTCATAATCTTTAAGATGCTTATCTTGGGTTTTACATAATTGTTATGTTTGTAATTAGTGAACAAAAAATGATATATATATATATATATATTCAGTTTGCACTTTGCTTATAACTGCTGGTACTCTCTCTTTGATGTATTTATAATCAAACTCCCCTGCTGTCACTTGGCACTTACCCAGTATAAATGTCCCAGAATATCTCTGGTGTGATAACACTGGTTGTTACAGTGAAGTACCGGTACATTATATCAGGTTGGTAGTGTCTCAGTCCCCATGAAGTGATTAGTGAAGTAGGATTTACAAAGTATTATTGTATGTATGTCACTCAATGAATGTAGGACAAATGCCAGGAGGTCACTCTGCTTATGGAAAATATGACATTTTTTGGGTATATTTTACCTTAGGATCATTTTGTTTACCATAATTAATGTGGTTCTTGTTATTTAATTCTCTATTTGATACACGGTTTGAAATTTGAAATATTATTGTTATTTAATACTTAATTTTTTATTATGCTTACAGTTTTGTGTATGTGCACTTTGTATAGGGTTGTTTACTATGTATAGTTTATACTTCACAAGTAGAAAGATTATATCTGTTCTGAGAACATAAAGCATTCACCTAGTAGTAGTCTCATTCCAAATACTGATTAAAATTAATTATTCTAAGCAATATTGTTAACATTTCTAAAATTACTATAGGTGAGAAAACAGTTTGAATATTTTAAATTTATTTTACTATAACTCTGGAATAAAGTGTTCTTAAAATACTAGATTAGTATATTCAAGAATATCATGTTATTAAGAGAGATGTGTTTTCATTTGGACTCTCCAGGATCTACAGCAAGACATAGAAAACCATGCTAATAACATCTTAGATATGATATCTACCTGTGATGCACTCATCAGTGAGTGTGAATCAATACTTTCTCCATCCAAGAAGGATAATCTCTTGAAGAGTGTTAAGAGTCTGGAGAACAGATGGAAGCAAGCAACAAACCTAGCTGCCAACAAAAAATCCAGGTAAGACTTTATATGTTTTACCTACTGTTACATCCCACAACCTAACTACCAACAGAACCACCAGGTAAGACTTTATATCTTCTACCTTCTGTTACACAGTACAACCTGACTAACAACAGAACATCCAGGTAAGACTTTATATCATCTACCTACTGTTACATCCCACAACCTAACTACCAACAGAACATCCAGGTAAGACTTTATATCTTCTACCTACTGTTACACAGCACAACCTGACTAACAACAGAACCTCCAGGTAAGACTTTATATCTTCTACCTTCTGTTACACAGTACAACCTAACTACCAACAGAACCTCCAGGTAAGACTTTATATCTTCTACCTTCTGTTACACAGTACAACCTGACTAACAACAAAACATCCAGGTAAGACTTTATATCTTCTACCTTCTGTTACACAGCACAACCTAACTACCAACAGAACCTCCAGGTTAGACATTATATCTTCTACCTACTGTTACACAGTACAACCTGACTACCAACAGAACATCCAGGTAAGTCTTTATATCTTCTACCTACTGTTACACAGTACAACCTGACTACCAACAGAACATCCAGGTAAGTCTTTATATCTTCTACCTACTGTTACACAGTACAACCTGACTACCAACAGAACA